TTGAATCTCTGAAATAATTTTGTGTCTTGAATAATTTAAGATAGTGAGATTTATCTGGTAGGATTGAACACTCTATACTGCATGTGGTGCATGCTTATTTATATGCTGTGCATTGTGCCAGATATAAATTAAGTCAGGATGCTGAGTAATTCTTCGAGGACAGTAACATGAGGTCTTTTGCCCACTTGCCTGAAGGAAGATGCCTTTTCAGGGTTATAGCTAAAATGCTCTTATGTGGGCTGGGAACTACAAACCCTGTTCTGGCTACCTTTTTATATTAATGAGTTTTTGGTCAAGTGTGATGCTTTTTTGTTGCATGAAACTGCCTGGGAAATCTCTTCCAAGTTATGAAACATTTATTTGAGCTTTACTGAAAAATACAAGTTTTTGCTCCCAGTGAATCCGTCTTCTTGAGCAGGAGGAGACCTTTTAAGATAGCTTAGGGACTTCTTTGGGGATTTAAATTTTTTTTCTCCATTTTGTTTTTTATTCCAAAATTGTCATAATAAAACATGAAGAAAAAAGCAGAGGTTTGTTTGCAGTACTTAGTCTCAGTGTCTGGAGAATATTCTAATTTTTGTTCTGCAAATGTAATCCTGAATATATTCTGTCATAGCTGTTTTACATACACAAATGAGTTTACATTTGTGTGTGTGTTTTACAATGCTGTTATTTCTGACATAGACTGTTACTTTGTGTTCACTGCGGGAGCTAAAAGCAAGTCTTGAATCTCAGCAAGATTCTTGTGAATCAGAAATTTTCACTGCTGTGCCATGAGATTGAACAATACATCAAATACCGGTTCAAGACGGGTACTATTTTCATGTCTGAACGCACTCCTGTTTAAGGTACTGTTACCTGCTAAACTGCCATGAATGTAAATTATACGTTCCTCTTTCAGTTCCAATGCAAATTACGTAGTTTTGTGATGGGGTCCTCTGTGGGGTAGAGCTTTGAGAGAGATTTCCCTGGACTTCTACTGGCAGTGAGCTCCCTAAAGAACAGAAAGGCTTTTCAATTTTCAGAAAAAAAAACTGGAGCAACTTAAAAAGGAGAGAATGAAAGTTAAATCAAACAAAGACATCAGAAATCCCATGTGTTCCTGTGGTGCAGGTGTCAGCTTTGTGTCAGCATGATATAGGCTTCAGTTTGGTATTTAGGCTTGGTTTCAGGGCTGCCTGGGTTTTGCACCCTCTGGTCTGTAGGATGTGTCTCTGCCACTCAGGCTGTGGTGCTACCTGTCTGCTCCTCTCCACAGAGCCTGTCATCTTTGTAACACCCTTTCTTGGCTTGAATAGTAGAATTGGAAATGTAGATAATTGTAAAAGACCTTTCTTCTTATTTTCTCTTGTCGGTTTCTTTATAGTGTATTTTGTATGATGGTCCTTGCCGCTTTTAATGTCTTTTACTCGTACCTAGTTTTCCAGTGGTTTGTCCAATTTTCATCTTTCCTTTAAAATCAGTTTACTATGAGAGAGCAGAGATGACTGTTAAAAGTAAGGTTCTGTTTTCTCTTCATTTGAAGTATAAAAGATTATAAAACATCACTGGCCTTTTGGGTTTATTTGCATCAGGCTCTTAATTACTTTCTTTATTGCCTCTTAGAGGTATGTGTGAAACTTGTCTGCCTTTTGATCTTATCTACAAAAACTACTATGTTAAAGGTCCTCTTAATTTAAAATGCCCTCTGCTCTGTTTTCTTTGTAGCCATGCCTCATTTGTTCCTAATAATTGCTATGAAAAACTTCTTCCTGTCTCTTTAGTTCATGAAATGCAAAGCAGATAGATACCTTTTCGTGACTTTGACAGCTAACCAATGTCATTTAACTGTTGAAACAAGGTTTACCTTTTGAACTCTTCCATCTAAGTTGATACTACAAACCTCCACCGAAAGCAGGACTGCAAAATTTTGCAGTCATTGACAGGTCGGGGAGTGCAACCAACATTCCAGAACTATTAATATAGATGTATGTGTTATGACAGTTGTTCCACTGCACTTTTTCTCTGTCTGCCTCCACCTGCTTTCTTTTCTGGAGCAGATTTGTAAGAAGCCTTGACAGAGGCTGCGCTTTTATGCTTTGCTTGCACTGATGGAAATTGTTGACTAAATATGGAGCTTTTATAAATCCTTTTTATCGTCTTTTCTTGAAGAAATTGAGACTTTTTACATGGTCTAGCTGCTGTGCCCTCTCCTTTGCCAAAATCCATGGGCTAATTTCAGCCAAACTTAAAAAAAGTACAGTCTGCAGGTTTTTCTGTTTACTTATTTAAAGGAGGAAAAAAAAAAAAAAAAGTGGATGACTGGGTGAAGAAAACCCAACTGAGTGCTTCTCACTGCAGAGCAGTGGACAGAACTCACCTGTGAACCTTCTATTATGCTCCAGCTGGTCAGGTATCTTGAAGGAGAGCATGCTCAAGGAGACAGAAAACAGGAGGTTGTATTTCACTAGTAATGATACAGTAGAGTGAGCTGAGCTCTTCTAGATTTGATGAAATAATTTTAGGAAATTATTTTTCCTCTCCTGTGCAAGCACTAGGCATCTTGGTAATAAGAAAGTTGGCATAACTTCTCCCTTTAGACAAAAAAAAAAAAAAAAAAAAAAAAAGAGTGTGCACTTCTTTGTGACCAGGCTTCAGTGAAGTGAGTATAGGAAGAATATAAAGAATAAAAGGTTATAGATGCACAAGGGAGGATTACAATTTCTTCAACACATGGAAAATCATTCCCAGCGTACATATTTTAGGTAAGCTTATTCATACATCATGCTAAAGGATGAGGAACGCCAGGCATTTTTTTTAATCCTTTTTTTTTTTCCCCTACAAAACATAAGCAACACATGAGAAACTGTTCCATACTTCTGCATATCTCCTTAACAAAAAGCAGATTCTAATCTTGGATATCCTTTCAGTGGGGAGGCACTGCTCACCTGAACTGCAGGTGACTTTATTGGATGATCCAGTTCCCTAGCTATGCCGTGTTCACAGCCTGGTGATTGTAAACTGTGCAACATGTACCTACAAAATTCAGGTTACAGTGGGGTAGCAACTTACTTGCCTTGGTACTACCGTGATTGCTGTTGGTAGCCTCCCGAAGGCTGTACAGGTAGAACTGAGTTCTAAGGTGAGATTTTTTTTTTTTCCCCTTAAGCCAAGTACTATTGTGTTTGCACACTGACAAAATAAAGCTAGCAACTTTACATGGGAAGGTGGAGGGGCTTGGCTGTGTGGGACAAAGATGTTGTTGATTTACAGTTCAAAAATATATATATCAGTATAAGTAAAATAATGTGGACTCATGACTGCTGACGCTGAGAAAACCAGCTCTGCTCTGGTGTTTACTTTCTCGGCACAGTCGGGCATTTCTGGGGAAACAAAGATCAGCTGCTTTCTAGAAAAGAATAGCTCTAATTCTCCATATACTCTAGTTTTTATTCTTTGAAGTGTTTATACTTACAGAATATTTTGTACATACTAGAGCTTGGTATCTTACATGTTAAGAATTCATGTGCTTTCACAGTCAAAATACTTCATTCACTAAACAGGAGTTTTTCCACACAAAAGCTCCTTCCACAGGCAGTTTCTCCTCCACGGGGGGAACTAATACCTGTACTGATAATCCATACAGCAGGCAACAGTGCTTCTACCAGTACAACAGCTAAAAAAAAAAAAATGCAACTTGTAGAACTGGTAAGAGAGCATGTCCCAGTGTGGGAGAGGCAGCACAGGATGAATGCTCAAAGTTACTTTTTTCCTTAATGGGAAACAAAGTAAATTATTGGTGCAAGAACTTCAGCTGTTTATTGGTAGTAGGTTTTAATGCTGCCGAGGCTTTTTGTAGGAGCAAGGGCAACCTCTTCCACCATTCCCAAGTCAGCGCGTAGCTGAGTGGAGCGGCTGTTTTAGTGCCGGTGGGTGACCAGGCAGTGAGGCCTTGTGTTCCCTGTGCCTGGAGATGCTGCAGCAGGATTCTGGCAGGTTCCAGGCACAGAAAGTGGGTTAGTACTAACTGTGCAAGTAGCAGTAAGCCACAGCAGTAGTGGGCACGCGTGCTGCTGGACATCCTGCTTTCCTGGTGAGACACTACAACGAAGTCTGACCGTTTTTCCTGACAAGAACTTTAGCTTAACTTCATTCCCAAATCCTACTTTTTGGTAATTTCTCTTAATAGTAATTACAGTGTTTAAACATGGAAGTGGTGTGGTCCACTTCAGAGGTAGGAAATGTGGCAAATCATTGGTGCCAGTAACAAGGCCGCCTTCGTTTTTTTTGATGCAGGGGAAAAAAAAAAAAATTCACACAATTACCTGAAGGTACAGTGGTACAGACCGTATCTTTGAATCTACATTTGAGAGGTTACAAAGTAAACCTGTAGAATGGCTTGAGATAGACCTATTTCTGTGACTTCTGAGGAAATATTTTAAGTAATCATCCATGCCTCTGTTTCAGCTGGTTTAGATGTGTATCAGATGTTTGAAACCTAAAGCATTGATTCCATTTCACTAATAGAATTCAACCTTTTTTTTGCCTTTGTTTCAGAAAGACTCGTGTAGTAGAATAGTCCAGTATGAAGGATCCTTCCTGAGCAGAATGGATTCTAGCACTCAGCCCATTGTTGCTAGAAGCTGGTTTTGGAGAGCTAAACTCTTGTGAAGCTACAGCATCTTCAGGAGCAAGGCAAGTGAACTGCAGGCAATTAGAAAATAACATAAGACTTTATAATAGCCTATAAATAATTTGTATGTATTGTGGCATTGTATTAGTGTGAAACCTGGCCTGTAGCCTTTCACTTTTCCCTTCAAGTGCATCCTGGCTGTTTCAGACTCTGTCTTGCACAAAGCCACATACAGAGGTAAAAAAAAAAAAAAAAAAACTAAAAGAATCACAACATTATTTAATTGAGTTTGTTTTTACATAGACTGCGATTCTATTGTAATTTGACCACGAGTTGTTTGTGCGGTCACTGTAGGGAAGTTCAGCACGCAGACAGTACGCTTAAAAGTTGTTCTAGTCTTCTGCCATTTAAATACGAATGTAGGCAGGAGTCTTTCTTCCAGTTTCAAGTGCAGTATTGTCATTACATGTGCAAAAGAAAGTGTTTCTTTTGCTTCTGCAAGGCAGCAGAGACAGCTGTTGGTCTGAACTTCTGTCTGTTCTGAGAACTGACATGCGTTTCAAGTTTTATATTCCTTTTTTAAATCAGAATTTGGTCACTGATCACGTGGTTTCATAAAAGCAGGAGTTGTGCATCTCTCAAAGTTGAGCCACAGTGTATTTGATGCCATTATCAAGAGTTGTTTTAAGACTTACCTAAGGAAAAGTTTGAACAGACAACTTCCAAGGCTAACTTTCACTGGACTATCACGTACAGTAAAATTCCGTAGTGCTAGTCTCCTCTCAGGTCAGCATTACCCATTTTAAGTGTGTGCATTTCTTTGAAGTTTTAATGCTAAGGTATCTCTGAAGTGTCTGGTAGAGTGATGGGAGTTTCTTCCAGCTTGCAACAAAACACACGTAAACTCACAATACTGGAGAAGAGAGTTTACTGCAAGCATAAGTATGTTCTGCTTTAATCAGTATAAAACAACAACAGTACAAATGTTGAGCACTTACGGATGAAGGACAAATTTCATTCATTTACAGTAAAAGCTTTACTTTTTCAGGAACTTTTCTTCCCAGAAATAATGCGCTGTTTGCGTGGTGAACAGAATACTTGGCCTTTTAACTTCAGCACTTACGTTCTTTCACTATTTCTGTACAGCATTTGTGGGAAAATAATAAAAAAACAGTAAGTCAGGAGACTTATGCACACTAAGGTGTGTAACAGTAGGGTGTTTTCTGCTCCTGAAACATTTTCAGAAATCTAGGTATGTTTTTGCTTCGTGTTTTTTTTTTTCCCTCCCCTCCATCATGCAGGACGTGGAAAACCATGAAGTGGTGACAGCCCAAGCTGAAGTTGCAGTATTTCAGGTGAGTTGTGTTTCACACAGAATGTATGTTTAGCAAAGTGCAGAGCTAGGAGCAAGTGTTCTGCCTTAGACACCTCTCCCTCCTGAGAACAGTCCCTCTAGAACACTGGTCAGCTGAAGCAGGGATGCTTGCTGGCATTCATTTTCTGAAGACAAGGCAGCTTGAAATGTCACAAGGATATTTGTTTTACAGCATAGGACTAAGCCATTTCGGATCCAATTTTAACCTTGTACTTGCAAAAGAAGTGCAATTATGATTTCCTTGTTTTAGGAACTGCAGTGCTAGAATTAAGCTGAAGAAGGGGAAAGCTTTGAAAGCAAAAGCAGCTTTTTTTTTTTTTTTTTCCCCCCAGTAATTGGAAAACAGCCATGGTCTAGTTGAGGAATAAACTAGCAGCCCCTCTCCCAGTACCAGCACAGGGGTGGTGTGCTGACTGGGGGGCGGGAGGGAGGGAGGATTGTCTCTGCATCCAAGCAATGGGTTATACTGGACCAGAGCCTGACTTTCCCCTTACGGTGGCAGAGGGCAGCTGCCTGTGCTGTGCCTTAGCCCCTCGTCTCACAGGACTCCAGAGCCAGCTTTCAGCAGGCAACTCCAGGGAAGCTCCCTCCTGGAAATACCACTTGCCCCTGCTGCAGACACCGGCTATGGGGAAAGCTCCGGGAAGTGTCACAGTCCTACTTCCACGGGGCAGGGACCAGCCTGTCCTCTGTGGGTGGCCACAACATACACCTACTGCTGGGCAAGAGTGCACTGTCACGCCTGGAGGCAGGGCCTAACTGCCCTTGTAGTATGGCAACTCATACGTAACCCCTGCATTTCCAAACTACAAATGAATTAGATGTAAGGTAGGTGTTAAATGCACACACACTGAGTAATATGTATGTACAGTTTATTTAAAATCGTTTTTAACATACATATAAAAACCCCTCACTATTTATACAGTCTAAGTTCTAGCAACATATACAAATACTGAGCAACTACAATACATGCTGAGGTAAGAACATACACTCTGGGAGAATACTCGAGCCAAACAAGATTGAAATACGCTTTATATCCATGTGTCTTCACATGTAAGAGAGACCCCTTAAATGTACCTCTGCTTGTATTGTACACAGGAAAATTCTAATCTTAAGTGTGTCATCATGCAACTTACATTTGGGAATCAATGTTTAACAGTTTGTAGCATACATTTTAAACCCAACCGTTACATACTCAAACTTATCATCATCTTAGCCCTAGCAGATACCATGTTCAAAGTTGAAAGCAGGGAGCAAAGCCTGGGACCAATTTATTTCAGAAAAGGGACCTAAAATTCTTAAAAACATTCTTAAAAACTGTTTAATTCTTATACCAGCTTAGCCTACAGTATATTCACAGTTCTACCACACCTGGCCTACAGTAAGAAGTAAATCCAAGTGTATTAATTTTACTGACTTGAACACAACCATTTATTTTTACGGTAGAATAATTTTTAAGCATAAACTGGTACTGTTTGAGAACGCAGAGATTTCTTAACTTGTCTGGAATAAGTTTGCCACATCTTGGTGCAAACAAATAACCTCCTGCCCCTTTCAAATAAAATCAGCTCAGCTAATTTCAAAGTCATAGCTGCTGCTGGGTAAGAACACTTACTTACCTGTTTAAGCAAAACTACAAAGACTGCAAACTAGCTTTATCAAGCAGAAAAAGTTGCAATAAAATCAGAAGTACAGCTATAGGCAGGAATTTCTTTTTCATGAATGGGTCTTATATACCACCCTTACCTTCACATTTAGGCTTAGACACCCAATTCTAAAAAATAAAAAAATACCGTTCTCAACGATTGAGAATGAATGATCAGGAACTTGTAGAATTGAGCTTTAAGGTAGCACAGAGTGTGCGATAACATATTCTAGATGTTGAACAGGCCACAAGTAATTTTGGATTACTGAGTTTATAGAGAGCCCCTGTGCAAACAGATTTTCAAGTTGCAAGTTTAGGATACTGTACTAGTATGAAGACATGGTGGCAGCCCTCTTGAACAGTAATTTAGTTTTGATTTGGACGTTCTCCACCTAGTTTCAGGACCCTGGGCAATAACAAGGCTGACTGGAATTGCATCACAGAAACAGCAGCCACTGAAGTCCATAAAACTGGGCTGATGTGTAGGTAGGGCGTGTTCCACGTGTATAAATTAATTCAGCATCCTCCCAACAGTGCTGTTACAATAAAAACGAAGCATTTTTATCGTGGGGTTTTTTCTACTACTTAGGTTAAAACAAAACTGTGCTTTGTTTCTAACAAGAAAAAAAAACAGCAAATATGACATCCAGATTGTTTTAATTTTGTGATTACCTAGCTGAAACTAGTCTGCATTATCCCCACTAGAAAACTGACTGCAGCGTTTTCATAGTAGAGAACACTGGGACATTCAACGGATACAAATTCCATTAAATGCTTCTGACATGGACATTCTTTGGAACAGTACTGGTTCTTTTGCAACAAGTTTTGGAATCTTTTACACTTCTATAAGAACAATCATAAGAATAGCCCTAAGGCCAAAGTTTTTCAGTTGTGCTAAAACGTACCGTATGTGCTAAATGCGTGTGTAACACAAACTGTGCACCATTATAATATCTGTGTGCTTCCTTAAGCACTCACAAAAGTATATACATATCTATCTTTGTATAAGCTTACATCTTAACACACAACAATAGATACTCTGGGGGCAGGGACACGGAGGGGGACAGGGAGAACCTTTCTGAATTCAGTCACCTCGACCACCAATGCTTCTTGCAGACTGACCATCAGGGAAGTCTGAATTCAAGGCAGACGCTATTCAGAGGAGCCTTCACTTAGTAGGGAAAAAATGTAAAAGCAGTTGTCATATAGTCTGCTTGTATGACTTGGTCTGTGCCTCCTGGAGCCCTAGGAAGGAACAGGACTGAGTGGCTTGAGGAGATGATGCAGAAAACAGATTGTACAGACAACAGATTTGAGTTTTGGAAGGCTAACAAAAATGGTGGGAACCTTCTGAGGAACACACAGCTGCTGATTCCTAATCCTGCAAACAAAAGCTGAAATAGCAGGATTTAAAATCAGAACTGTTTTATGCCATGAAGTTAATGGGATTTTTGCCATCAGTCCTGATGATACTAGTTTTTACACAGTCCAAACTTGTGCAGGCATTTTATAGGGTAAAATGAATTTTAGAAGCTGTAGTGCTTACATACAGATCTTAGAAAGTCAGGAGCTTTGTTTCTTTTCCCCCAGGAATAGTACCATTAGCAAGAAATTACCATCTTTCGTACTTTAAACTATTTCTCCCAAGTTATCATTCACATCTACGAATTACTGAAGCTAATCTTGAAGAGTTCTTCTCTCATGTCTGACAGACAATTGTACAGTAGTAATTAAAAAGGTCCATGGTTTTGCAGGAGACAAGCTGTTCATTACATACACAGCTTAAGGAAAGGCAGAATTACTGGTTTCCCAGACCTCCAATACCACATCTTTTGGTTCAACATCATCTTATTTAAGACTAACAATAGCAAAACAACGCAATTAAAAAAAATGAAACTTAGCTTTATGGAACTGGCTTTTGAAAACAAGCTGTCATTCTACCTTACTTGTGAGCTAACTTAGTTCATCCTCACTCCCAGTGGAATGGGCCACGCTCTGTGGTACCTGGTACACCAATTCGTTGGCAGCACCTGGCCCCGGCTGCCCCTTTGGTGTATCGTACAGCGCCTGTGCTGATGATGTGCTCTCTGTCCTAGATAGGAGTTTATTGTAAGTTCCAACCAGTGGAGGAGCTTGATTCCCTGCAGCTTTGAAGGTGGAGATGGAAGGAACGCCAAGAGGTGTGCTGGGGTGGGTGGACATGTCCATGATTATTGGAGTTGCATATTCTGGTCCAGTTATAGGTAGCGGTTCAGCATACGCATGGTAAACTTCTTGTATGGGGGAACTGTAAGGGTCCAAATCAGCGTAACTTGCTTCTTTTCCTTCCTCTGGTTTAAAGGTAGATCTCTGATGAAGCGTGCCGACAATCCCCACTACCAGTGGCTGAGCATACTCTGCGTTGCAAGCCCCAGCAAAACAAAATAAAACCCACACTTAATGGAATTTTTTTGTTTACAGTGGCATCACATTAAATACAACCTGTCAGTAGTGTCACAGAAATTATTACCCTAGATCAAACCAGTGGTTTGTCTCTGTCTGCCAGTGCCAATTGCTTTGGGAAAACAGTAATTTCCACCAAATAGTTAAAGCCAGTGGGATAGCCACACCATCCCAACTTCTCAGGTGTATACTTCCCTTGTGAGCTGTACTTTCCCATGCTGTAACTTTGCCTCTAAACAAAGTTTTTTGAAAAGTTCTTCCCTGCCAAATTAGAATTAAATGAAATTATCTTGCCTGGCTTCAGATAAAAAGGGGTCCTTGGGGTTGTCCTCTGAGCAGGGGGAAGCCTGCATGTGGTCAGTTGAGGTATTTGAGGTATTTTAGTTCCAAACAGAAACTGAGGTACAAAAGCTGGAGGTGAGAAACCTGGCCAGCTGGGTAACAGCAGACAGGCACCCAAAAAGAGAAAAGTAATTCTGCCTGCTGTGAAGCTGTTAATTCCTGCAGATCTCCGTCGTCCACATGTAAGCACAGAACCAAAGGCACGGTCAGTCATCTTCATCCAGTGCCTGGCTCACCAAGGAAAGGGCCTGGGCCATTACCAGTAACAACAACTCTTCTAGATCAGAAGAACGATTGATTGGGCAACCAAGTGCCACATTTCAGATTTGTGCATAAGGATAATGAGGTGAAATTATTTCAAGCACATGAAAACACAACCAAAAAGATCCTTCAGCCCTATTTGGGGTTTAAGAAGAAGTACAAGTAAAGAAACTTTCAGTTACTACATTAACTTGGGAAAGTGTCTATCCACAACGCATCAAATCAATTAATACATACTTCTATGGTAGAAGGACAGGTTTGAAAAAGCCTGCATTTCAGGAAATGCACTTCCCAAAGAACTATTAATTTTTCTGTTCCCCAGAACAAACAGGAAATAAATAAATGTAGCCAAATTCCTGAAGTTTTTGGCATGTCGTTTATATATATATATATTAAAAAAAAACCCAAACATAGCCCACAAAACCAGTAAAATGTACCTGCTGACTCTGTTTGCAGCATTGTTGGGACTTCTCTTGGTCTCAGGTGACTAATTTCACTGCTGCTGTAGCGTACAGGAGTTTCTTCATGTTCTGCTGCTTTGGTTGGGAGAAACTGCTTCATTCCTTTCCACCATCCTTCACATGGGTATAAAAAAAAAAACCCACACCCAAGACTGCATGTATACTGCATTTTAAGCTACTAAAATATTTTTACACCACAACTTCTATTTTGCAGTAGCAGGTAAACAACTCGATTATCAGTACTGCATTGACCCTAAAGTTAAGTTACAAGGTATTTTAACATTTTCTGGCAGACTGCGGATTCAGAAGTGACAACATTACTCTCATCCAGTCAACCTACCTGAGTGCTCCCCCTTCAAACACCTGCACCACTGCCGAGGTCTAGGGAACCTATCCCTGAGCATCCATTAGCAGACTGCTGCAGCTGCTCATCACACTAATAAACTCATCAAATAAAACAGAAACTACTGAAAAGTCGGCCACAATTCCAACTTGTAAATCAAATATTTACATAAAATTTTAGACAGACAATCTCTGTTGTGACCTAAGAGTACATTTAATTAAGATGGTTTCTGGCTGTTAATGTCATGTTTCTAACTCATGTTGTTGAAAAAGGTTGATCAGTTAATATTTGCAACAACCTGAATAAAGAGGATTTTAACTTCAGGGGAAATGACTGTGGTCATGAACATTTTCTGGAGAGAAGGCAGGGAGGGTTGGTTTTGTTAGCTACCCTCCATCCCTCCCCCCCTGTACCCAGAGTCATTCTAGTTTTGCTGTCCACTAACGTATTTCATTCCAGCGGTAAGAGACCATCCTGTAGGTAGAGCCCAAGCAACAGGAGATGCAAAAACCACAGAACACTGTTGAACAAGATTTGAGGTAGCCTGTGGGAGGGGACAGACAGAGGTGCCACAGAGAAGTGCAGCAACATTATTTTGATCTTGCATTTTGCCAAATTTCCTTTTCAAGCAGACCTGCATACTGAATGTATAAATTTAAGCCAACAGGAAAAAAAAAAAAAATGAGACGTGTCCACCATTGACATTTAAATACGGGATATTTTGAGTCTAACATTCTAAGACAACAATGCTGCGACCTATCAGAAACATACATGTACTAAATCAGAGTAAGGTCACTGCAGGGTTGCTGGTCTAAGGCATACTGAAAACTGCCAGGGAGCAAACACGGCTGTGGGGATCGTCAGGGCGAGGAGAGGGAAGCGCAGTGCGGCCGGCCCGCCCGCGCCCCGCTGCTGCCGCCGCACAGGCGCCTGCCGGACACTCGCCCAGAGCTGCCTGCAGGGATCGTCTCATCTCATGGGGCACAAGGCAGTGGGATGGAAAATAACGCCTAAAGGGGCTGCAAACAATCCCACATGCTTACTAGGGCAACAAGGGAGGGCAGAACCTGACACACCTTATACACAAAGATGAAAGATGTCTTCCAGGACAAAAAAAAACAGTACCAAATACATGATTACCAAATGTATAAAGACATTCCTCAAAAATTATTTTTCCCCTCACGTTGTATAATTAAGAGGTTCTATACTTTGTTTACTAAAAAAAAAGCTGAAGCTGTAAGCTCTAGCAGGAGACAAGGCATTTTCTATTTCTGAACAAAAATCCAGAGAATGAAGGAGTTAAGTCTGTCCAGAAGAGAACGTCAATGCTCACGGTGCCTCCATCAGTTAGCATTAGAGAAGCTTCTGCTACTGGGAACTGTCTGTGTTACTGCAATCTGAAATGCGCATCAAACCGAAAATGCCAAGCAGAGGATTTCATAAACCCATCTGGTTACCTGCACGATCCCAGTAAGGTAGATCATAAGCGCCCTCAGTTTTTTTCTTGCTGTGAAAAAAAAAGAAAAAGGGGGCATTTTAGCTAGTCTGCTTATCAGAAGGTGCATTAATTAACACTAAGCAACTGTCACCTTGGCTGTAACTGGCCCTCAAATTGAAAGTATAAGCACCAGTAACCTGGCTTGCCATCACCAGTCTGCTGCTACTGGAGAAACCAGTTTTCAGTAAAAGCACTTCTAATGAGAAGAGTTACAAAAAGCTGTTTTCACTGTGCTCGCTATTCAAGTGAACGTTTTCCCACAGAGCATACATTTCTGAAAAAAATTAAATCCTTCCACAAGTGTGGACCATGTAGTTCCCACAGCGACACATGCAGCATTTCATTCCCACACACCAGGCCAACATTCATTTAAAGCACTTTCAGGAATCTGTTCATTTACCGGTTTCTCCAATGCCACGCACAAACTAAGATAAGAATCAGAGTAGTGAAGACCATCACCAGCACTGGAACCAGAAGTGCTGCCAATGCCACATCTGAAAACCATTAAATTAAGTGGTGTCAGACAGAGGAGCTTCTCATAAATCACTTTTTCATTTGAAAATTACTTGGGTAAAGCACACAGTTTTCATGTACAGCGTCTACCACAGCAGACCCCGCAGCTAAGCTGCCCTCCTGGATGCTCCCACAGTGCAAATGTCAGTTAACTTCGAGCTCTTCTACATCTGTGCACAGCTGGTGTTTGTGCAAGGTTTTTCATCAAAATCAACAGGCTTCTTTTACTATAAGTAAGATTTATCTGTGAGAACAACGTATTTTACTATTAACAAGGCAAATCAAAAGAGCTCAGGAATATGCAACCGCCTAAGTTTGAACCTCCTACAAGAAGTAAATACCACAGTACCTTAACAGTTCATCACCATCAGCCTATGCTGGGTCTGCGTGTGTGACATGAGACCATCCTGTCCCCTGCCATCCAAAGGACACTTCACCAATGCCTACACCTGCAGTGATCTTCCTCCCTTTTCTGACAATTTTCTTTGACAAACAAAATAATGGTAACGGATGATGTTTTTCAAATTTCATGCCAACATGACTGCTCGATAAAAGATTAGCTATGTCAAAAGTGCTTTGTCCTGAGAAAGTATCGAATTAAATAACAAAACAGTTACACCTGATTATTTCTGAAGGGAAGTCCAAGTTGCAACTTCTCCTTCTGACAAAAGTTGTTCAGTAATTAAAAGCTGGACTCAGTTTCAGCAAGTTCTGAAAGATGGAACTTAATATGACTTGGAAGATTGGTTTTGTTTCTGCATGCCGTACACAATAGTACATTTTTATCACGTGTATATTTAATAACTGGTAAATATTAAAATATTGATAATTTGCTATGAATATGTTAAGTGTAGAGAAAACTGAAATTCAGAAACACACTTGATACATGCCAAAGTACCGTAAGGAGTTCCCAAACACTTCTACTGCGGAACTGTGGCTACCTTTGGTTACACTTGGAGTCACCGTGGTGTTTTTTATTTCGGGCGTGAAAGTTGTTTTATCTGTCTGCAACGAAGCCTTCACTGAATGGATGAAGTCATCGCTGAAGTCACCATTCTTGTCGTCATTCTTGTTCTGAGGCGGTGGTGGCGTGGTGATTTTAGGAGCACGGCCTTTAGAAGAAAGAATTCATAAAAAAGGTTTTTTGAAACGCTAGTTTTCTACATTTCCTTTTCAGATGAAAGCTGAAACAGTTTTCTCTAAAGCTTTTGTTCATGTTATATAATGAGGAAAAAAACCCCATGAATCAATAACATGCAAAGTGAGTGACTAGCATCTTTCAAACACTTGTTTTCGAAATTACCTTGTTTACACCTAAACTAGGTATTTTCCAGGTTAAGTGTAGTAACTTCAGAAGTATCAGTTACAGAAGGATTATGCAGCTAAGGAGGACTTTTTTCTCATTGAACATATACCCACAATGTAATCTTTGCCAAATTATTTCACTGCTTGTCTCGCACAGGTGAAAGGTTTTCAGTTGCCTTACCTATACTAAACTGACATCCTAGCAATTCTACTTTCATTGCAATTTTCTGGTGCCATTTTAAGGGGTTAATCCTAAAAAAGCGTGCAATAATAGGTGGAATGAAATTATTGCGAACTTCCTGGTACAATTCAGTGTTCCCTTGAAATATCTAGAAAAGAAAAGAAAAAAAAAAAAAAAAAAAGGAGACAAATATTACGTTACACAAATGCAAAAATGCAATAGCAACTAAGTAACTAAAGCCAATTCTGATGTTTTATTTAGGAAAATTAAGCAGTGCAGAATCCTGAATTCAACCCAGCACGGTGCTGCTGCCTGCAAACCTCCACTCACTCAGCCCTAATTAAATAAGTAACTAAATAAAATAAAGAGGGGGGTGGGGGTGGCGAAGGGGGAGGGTACGTGTATGCACACAACTACTTACTTCAGCATAAAGGTGTCACGTAATGCTCTACCCATGCTCCCCGGGCAATGCCTGCCATTAAAGACGTCTCCCGCGTTTATAGCACTGAGTAAGTCTACCTCGGTATTTTTGGTATTTTGCCCTTACTCTCCACATATACAGCAAGCAGTTTTGACAGTGTCAAAGCAGGAATTAAGCGGTGCCTTCGCACAGCCTCACAGTTTAAGCACCGTCTGCGCCGTGACGGGGCAGGGCGTTTATGAGAAAGCAGGAAGAGACACGGGCAAGTACGGAACCGCACTGCCCCCGGGTGCTGCTGCCTGCAGAAGGGGAGGACGCGGGTCCAGACCGTGCACGCTCGCTCCCGGCGGTCCCGCACGGAGCCACGCGGTTTGGGAAGAGAAGGGCGCAGACTTGGCCTGAAGGGTGAGCTCAGGCTGCTCCTGCGCTGCTGCTCCTCACACGCAGAGAGCCCCTCCACACGTGACAGCACGGAACGGGATCGCCTGGTGGCAATTTAAAACCAGAAAGCTGACAGTCCCTGCGTGACACAGGGTAAGCACCCTGACAAACCTACAGCCAACTGCAGGTTTTCCACCGAGCTGCTGAAAATGATACGGAAACCGGGCCCCGTACTCCAACCCAGCAAGCTGTCCCAGC